CTATAACTCACTTGCGTTGCACTTACTCTCGTAGCCTGTTGCATTGACTGTTTTATTTTATATGAATTTTTCATTATGGTAGTCACAGTGGAAGGAGGCAACTTCATACTTCTGCACACATTACGACGGGTATCACCACCTTCTATTCTACGAATTACGTCCATCATATCTTCTATCGCAATAGACCTATGCAACGTTTTAGCAACACATTCACTTTCTTAGCAGACATGGTGGCTCTTCTACAATTTATAAATATAAAACAGTTGCTACTGCAGAACAGTGGTCGAACAACAACACAAACACGTTCAGCACACAGTTTTCAGCACATTCAATGTGTCAACAAGAAGCGAACTGAGCACATTTTTCCTTACTCCCTTATCAGGATGAACGCAAATGACTCACCATGAAGAGAGACCAATGCTCACGTGACTGTTGCGCAATGTTGGCGGATTTTTAGGAGATTATCTCGCAACTACTTAGCAATGAGTGCAGAGGTGACTGTATTTATAATTTTATTCAAAATCAGCGATGTAAGAATTACGATTTATTATAAGAATCAGTACGAGAAACATTGTAAAACGTTATAAATAATAGTGAAATATATTTTTCTCACTTTTTGACTTGCTGGTTTCAAAAGCGGCGCTATTCTGAATCGGTACAAATTGAACCGGCGCAAATCGAGGTTTACTTGTACTTAAAAGTTATTACACGTCCATATTAACACATGAAGCAGAAATTTAAACATGAACCAAGATTAGAATTTAATGGCAGTAGGGATAAGATTTTTGAGGAGTATAGGGGGGGGGGGAGAGAGAGAGAGAGTAAGAATTTAGGGATAAACACCTTGGAAGCCAAATTAACAAATAATAGAATATGATGGCACAGACATGTTTTAAGAATGAATAAAGAGAGAATCAACAAAGTTTTAAATATAAAAGTAAAAGGAACATGCTGCAAGGGGTATAAAAATATAGACAGAAACTGCTGAATGCTAAGAATTAAGAAGTATGATGCCAGAAAGAGTTTTGTAGAAGGTTTTACAAAATGCAGAGAACTGGTTCAATGGTTATTAGTGGAGGGACATATGTATATAAGCAGATTACACATAGCATGAAAACCAGTCTACATAAAATCACAGAGTGAGGTCACACCAACTGTTCTGACAACTGGAAAGCCAAAAAAACTTCGCATGGTACCTCAACATGAGACAGTTTCCTTGTTCCACGAACAGCACTCAGACTAATAGCACTATTTACTGGGCCACTTGAATGTTGCTGGAATGCTTTGCTATCGGCCACATCTGAACAAAAAAAGTGAAGCCTACAGCAAAAATAAAGCAATATATACTAAAATTATTTACAAAATAAAAGAATAAACTTAAATACAAGATCTGACAATTAAATAACCTGACATATCTGTGCAGCAACTGACAACATTGGTGAGTCAGCTTATGTTAGATAACATGACTACACTATTCAGCAGGTTAGTGACAGTTATGTGTTTTGTGGTATGCAATATATTGATACAGTGTTTTGTTTGTTTGTCAGTAACATGGGTGATACATTTTTAGAACACAGAATCAACATTGCAGTTTTAGTACAAGTAGTTGCGGCTTATTTTAAAGGCAGACTAATATTCCAACATTTATTTAAGAGACTGAGGAAAACCATAAAAATTCTCAGATAAGATACCCAGTCTGGAGACCTAGATTGAAACAAGTCAACTTCTCTCCCTATAAGAAACAAATCCCCAAATCTCTACATCATGTTGCTCAGTATATTAAATATGTTTATTGTAAATACTTACGAGAAGAGCATCATATAGGATAGCATGATAATTGGACATAAGACTAACCAAACAGCATGCACCTTTGTAGTTATGTTCTAACCTGATTCACTGTGTGATGCACCCTTCTTTTTGCTGTCAGAGTCTGGACCACCATGCTTGCTCAAACTGGCTGCCATTTCTCGAACAGAACGCTTCTCTCCACCACCTGGACCTGTAAAATTACAATCAAATGTTACAAGTTATGCCTTGTATCATATGAATATATCCTATGGAGATCACCAGGGAAAACACCATAGGGACACATTATCTGCTGCATATAATTTGTACTGAAGGATATTAAACTTATTTAATGACACCATGACTGCATACATTACCTAGCAAAAATAGCAGACTAAATGTAAATGAATAAATGTAAAAGATGTGGAAGCAGTTTGTCATGGTTCAGTTTTAGTTCAGGTACTGTGCCAGAAATTGCCTGCAAGGGCTGAGGAAAATCATATTTTAGGGATAAAAATGTTAACAAACCAATAATATTTATCTTTATTTCAAGACAGCCAGTCTCCAGGCCAATACTAGAAAAAGGGACCTGTTTTATTTACTAACTACACAGACCAGAGCAGCTAGTCAAGAAATCCCTTGCTTTTTATAGAACCCAAAGATTTATTACCATGTACACAGCAGTCCACCATCAGTCCCTATTCTGAGCCAGATGAATCCAATCTACATACTCCAAACCTAACATTTAAATATCCTGCCATCTATGCCTAGGTCTCCTGAGGGGTCTCTTCCCTTTAAGCTTTCAATTTTGTTAGATATGGCATTATGTCAACCAGCAGTCTAAATATTCAATTAATCATAGCTATAGTTCCTTTATGTAGATACCAAAGTACTGCACTCAATGAAAAGTACACAATTCAAAGGCAAGACAAAGAATGACATTATAAGGAGGTTACTTTCAGTGTTTGATTCTTACACTTTTCACAGTACTATCACTCACTGAGCTATGCTGTAGAGCTCTTTAGCAAAATACTGAAAACGAGACTGGACAGGTGTAATCCATACTGAAATATACAGGGGTAGGATTTAAGGCCATAAAATTTATTTAATTTCCACTATTATAACTGAAATGCATGAACATACACTTCAAAAGTTGTTTCCTTTCTTCTTTACTGATTTATTTGTTTATAATAAAATAGTTGGTAGAATGGCATAGTTACAAATACATACATTACAAACTAATCAATAAATTAATGTACAACCTGTAATACATGCTGAAACATCTCTCAACTTGTAATTTTAATGAAAAAGTATTCACAAAAGAAGACATGATATCTTACTTTAACAACTTCAAGTTTATGCAAGGAATTAAGAATTTATGAGTTTAGGGTATCCTCCAATGGCATAATGTCAATACCAAATTTAATCAAAATCTGTCCAGCACTAAGTTTAACCACGCAGACACACAGATAGAAGACATACATGGTCAGCCCTATACACATTCATTTCACGTGTATCATGAAATGAACACATAATAAGTGGCAAGACTTTACATGATATGTAATGGAGTTAAGCCTCACCTGATCCTGAGCCCATGCTAGCCACACCAGAGTCTGTGGATTCATCCAGAGCATCCCCAGAATCAGGAGTATTTGCTGCAGAAGTGTTGGTACTAGACCCATCACTTGGCAATGAGAACTCTCCTGCAAAACAACAAATAAAATCAACCGTTCTCGATGATCACATTCCAAAATTACACATTTGCAATGAATTTCAGAACTTCCACATTTTTAAATATAATACTCATCATCCAATTATTTTATTCGAATTATTCTGGACAACAAGTCCAAAATATTTTCAGAAGTTGTTTTTCAGTGTTTAAGCACCACATCAAATGTGTCCAGATGGAGTGGGCAGATCTCACATAAACTAGTGCTAGATGGAGGTGAGTGGTGAGCTTTACAGTCTGAACACTTTAACCATTGAGAAAAAGCCTCTGGCACTCAATGGATAAGAGGCTGGAAGGGCCCCACAGCTGGTCTGGAGAGACTGGCATAAAGGAAAGCCTTCCCTTGTTGGGAATCAAACCCCAAATTATCAATTTACTTACTGTGTGTTTTGCTTTGTTTGCAATTAGAAGACAACCCCTTTTCATTCAGGCGTTAATTACAAAACCTAGTAAATACAGTAATTTCAGGTTGGATGAAACCACATGGTATATTGTCTCCTTCCAATACTGAGTATTACTTACATGCAGTGTGACATGAAAAGTAACGACTCAAAATGGTGACACAATTGGGAGTAGACTAACAAAATAATTCTGTTTATCTAAGCATAATAAATAGCTGTAGCAGATGTTCACTGGCCGTTATAGCAGGTTACTGTTTCATATAATATGCAAAAAAGTCTATTTGGATGTTGCCAAATCTCAAAACTGTCAGATGTGATGAAAACTTCGATATTTTTCCTTCTGCTTCACTGTTAACATTAATTCAGAAATCAGTACTACTTAACACACTGGCTCCAACATGATTTTTGCCAGGAATAAATTTCATCTGAAGACTCATGGGTGGCCCTTTAAAAAAACCCTCTTATTGTATGAAGTGTGACACACTGGTGGCTCTCACAAACCTCATGCATCTTTCCTGCCCCAGCTATGATGTTAGAAAGAATTACTTTACTATACAAAGACTGAACCTCCACATAAATAATATAGTCCTTTGACCCACCAATGTCTCTTGAGGTATAGCCAAGCAAAGAATAAATAAAATTGGTCTTCTAACCTATTTATAGGTGATCTAGTCCAGTTACCCACACATTTCTACCATACATTTATATGCCACCTGAATAATTAACATACCTGACTTCCTGTCACCTCCAACCATGGACCATGGTCTTGGTTTTGGAGCAATGGGTGGTGGAGGTTTCACTTTGCTGGGGCACTGCTTTCCTGATGAGCAGCATGACCCTGAAATGGCACCACAAAGTCAGACAAATTGTAAATATGAGTGAAATGCCTGACCGCAGTACAGTCTTGTAACACTTGCTCAAGAACATGCAACCAAACATCGTGGTCAAGTGGTTAACAATCCTGCCTCGTATTCGGGAGGTCCCAGGTTAAAATCTCGGCCCGGGGACCAGCTATCCTGACTGTTTTTTGTTTTTTTTGTGGTATTCCTCAGTCCCTACATGCAAATGCCAGAATAGTGGCCACAACTGCTTCCTTCCACAAACTTTCCAATTCGTTATTCACTATCATCCTCTCATTTGACACCATATAGTTTGAGTTACTGAAAAGGATTGTTAAATAAATTAGAAATAAATAAATCAAGGACATGCTTGGCATAATAATTAAGTCTGTATATGGTAATGTGTAACCATCAGCCTCAGATAAAGCTAAAAAAAGCTTGTCATCATTGTAAACTTTGTAAGCGACTATTAAATCGAATTATTTCGTAGAAAACTTCATTCTTGTTAGATTTATTTTAAATAGTATACTACAGATAACAGATGCTGAGGCAACTATGGATAATAAGATTAAATTAATGGGAATATGCAAATAAAAATTAATGAATGCATGGAAGATCTACAAGTAATTTAACGTTTTATGCACTGTTCCTGGAGGGACTAAAGAAAATAAAATCTCAGGGTAGATGGTCCCTGCGGTGAGACTGGAACCTGTAACCTATTTTGTGATTTTTAAGTAAAATGTTCACTCTGTAAATGACCTAACAATCTCAAGTACAATCTCAATACTACCTGTGAATGCTATATCAGTGAAATGTTCACTCTGTAAATGACCAAACAATCTCAAGTACAATCCCAATACTACCTGTGAATGCTATATCAGTGTTCCTTATTAGCTTTGTAATATTATATTTCCATCTTCAATAAATGAATGACCACAAAAAAGTTTATAAAATTATACTTACTATAAAAAGCATTACTTGAACAAACTACAATTCTTGAGAAACACTTCAACTTTATTTTCTAAATCTATGTTCTGAGATAGAATGACAAAAATTATCTTCATGCATCACTTTCTGCTTAATACATTAGGCATAAAGATCTCTCTTGAGAGGGCTAAATTTTTATGACATTTCATGATAAGTCTTGCATTTTACAGCGAAAAAATTGTCAGTAAGAGAGTTAAACTATACAAAGGCAGGAGTAAATTGAATTATTTATATTTCCTAAGTTCTGTCACAGTAACTAAATCCCACCTGAGTCTGAATTTGTCCTGCTGCCACAAATTTCCTTTGTCACTGACTTGAGGATGGGAGACTTTGGGACTTCACCTGAACTCCCTTTGGGGAATCCATTGGTCGGAGACCGCAAAGAGTCTGCCAAGCCTGTGGATCGAAGCCTCACTGAGGGAAGCACTGTTGGTGACGGAGGCTTCTCTTTGTCTGGATCAGAGTCCTAAGTGCCAGCAAACATTTCAAGCTAAGAATATTTTATATTGCCAATATAGTGGTACAAAAGAATAACATTTTAATGTTTGAAATTTACAATAATAAGTTAATGTGTTTTAGTAACAACTTTCACAAACATAATTACTTTAAAACTTACCAGACATTTCCAAATAAATATTTGTTTTTCATGTATGCACCACCTACAGACACACAAAAGTGAGCCTGCATATACAAATATACCTGTCGTGGAGATGATGTCCTCTTTTCTTGTCGAGCCTTCATTTCAGCAAGTACTGTGTTGTTAACTCCAACTTTGATCTTCGGTACACGAGCTGAACCATCAGTCTTATCGCCACTGCAACCAAATTCCTGAGTAATACTGCCACTGCTGTCCTCTCTTGTCAGCTGTCCACCTGACATGCATAGCAACACATAACGGCACTAACAGCACAATAATTTATAAAATGGCTTGACACATGGTAAAATTCTATACATGCATTAGAATATCAATGCCGAGTAGTTAGCACCCTCAGTTTATATTTGAGAGGCCCCAAGCTCAAATCTTCAACTGGTGACTGGCAATTTTTATTTTCAAATATTATGATAAAACAGCTACTGGTATTGTGAATGTTACATAATGATTATATGTGAAAATGCCACGACCACAGGGAGGTGGAAGCATCCAGTAATAAAAATGGATGGTTTATCAGACATGGAGATCTTATATTCTATATGGATTAAGCCATGTTTAATTAAATTTCAAGACTAATTTTCATTCTCAGAGATAAAAACAAAGGAATTACAAAAGTTCAGTATTTGTAGATAACAGTACTATAAGAACTCACCCTCAAGGCTACCTTCCTGCCCAGGCATCCGCCTTGCCAATGGGGAAGCTGTGAGCGGTGAATCTCCTTGAGACCGTCGTCCAATGAGGGGAGAGTACTTCTCCAAGTTATCACTCGACCGGGAGCGAGGTGCTGCTGGTTCTAAGAGGCCAGACACTCCTTTCAGGAGAGGGGAGCTGCAAGTGTTGGAACACTCATGAACCATGAAACTGTCACAAAATTTTTCTATAACACCACCACCTGATTGAAAATTTCTGATTACAGACAGAATAACTTACTAAACATCTAGTGTCCTTCTGTTAACACCTCTATGGAACTTCCTCCCTTTAAATAAGGTAGCTGTTTAGTTTATTTAACAGTAATGTCTCTATGATATAATTTATATGATGAAGAGACAAAGTGGGGGAAGATATATAAACGAGAGGAGAGAGGGTGAGTGAGAGGGGGGGAACTCTTATGGAAAATAACACAGGGGGCAGACACATAGACAATGAAAACGTGACATGTGAGGATGCAATACCGTGATACTGTGTGAACTGTAAAAAATTACCTTAATATATAATTACTAATTAACTCCATGGAGTAAGATCCTTCTTCAGATAGCAATAGTTGCTCAAATAATCCAGAAATTCCACACATTTCATGAAACCCAAAGGATTAATACTGTTCACATGAGCCCACCACTAGTCTCTATCCTGACCAAAGTAAACAGAGAACACACACTACCACACAATTTTTCTAAGATCCACTTTAATATTATCCTTTCAAATCAACATTGATTGTCTCATACAAACATGCTACATGTATTGCCCAAGTCATCCTCAAGTTAATATTTTATTTATTTGTGGTTTATTTAGCATTGCAGTCAGTAGTTCAGGACTGAATGATATAATTATTAGTGGATCAGAAAGGATGTTGGAGGAAGCAGTCATGACCCAATTCAAGACACTTTTCCAGAATTTGCCTGAAAGGACTGAGGAAAACCATAAAAACCTGTCAGGAGACCCAAATCCCAGGCCATGTTTTGAACCCAGTACCTCTTATATATGAAGCAGGAGTGCTGCCACTTGGCAGCATTTGTTAATATGTTACTTCAGAGTTCATTAATTGAATACCATTTGTCAAGCATATGATCTTTGATAGCACATCTTTCCTTAATTTAACAAACACTGTTAAAGACAAGTTATGAAAGATGGATGCAATCCAGAACATAACTGCACCTGCGTCCTGTCTTCTCTTTTAAGTTGTTCCCACTGTTACACTTGTCCTCATCTGTACCACACTTGTTTGATGCGCCACAGGTCTGTGGAGGATCTGGAGATATTCTCACTGTCTTCCCTTCTCCACCCAAACTGGACTTTGAGTCTGCATTCTTCCAATCATCTTTACTGCCAGACTGGTGGTTTGGACTGCCTTCTGATGGAAATGTGTGTGAGCTGCAAACATCAGTACTGAATAAACTTCTGGACATCATGTGAAATTTTCAACATCAGGTGTGGACAAAGGAATGAAGTATGGTATAAACATTTTATCAAGTTCACTCCATACAGCAGAGTCCTTAAGAAGCTAATACATTCTCAGACATTGAAAAAATTCTCCACCTTTTATGGAACCCAAAGGTCCACTACCATGTTAACAACAATGTCAGATTGTTATAAATTTTAAAATTGTTGATTTATTGACAAGCTCCTGTATCTCTAATATGCTTGCAGTACTTCAATACTTTCTTTTTATATGATATGCAAAGGCATAAATATTGAAATGAAAGCAAACACATGACAAGATGGCAGACTGGAAAGATTGGTGGGGCCAATCTTAAAGTAGGTGAATTACTTGTATACAGTGATTCTGATCAGGATGCACGTGCACCAACAGTGATAATTAGTATTAGTAATAATACTTTATTTACTAGAAAAGGCCCATCTGCTTACAAACCATGTGATTAAAATAAAATTTAAGCTATATTTTTGTAATGAGAAGCCTGAGGATTATGTAACAAGTGTAAATGTAAATAGTACTAAATATTTCTAAAATGATACCTGTCATCTGATGTGGGTGAGACCAACGGTGTACCAGTAGGCGTGACAGAGCCTGGTCTGAAGAATGTGTCCAACCCCTCACCCAGATCCTGTATGTTCTCTATTATTTCTGCTGGCCGCAGCATTGGCCGGCTTGGGGCCCTCGTCTTGGCTCTTCGTGGTCGCCCCTTCACCAAATGTTGCAACTGCTGCCCCACTGCAGTTGGCAACTCTGCCACAGAGTCTAAAGATTCTATAAAATGAAAGGCAACAAATGTAATTCATGGTGATACATTCAAAAAGGATATATACAGAGTGAGTCAGAAGTATGTTTACAAACTTCGTGTGCGTGTTCCAGCACCAAAAATAAGAAAAAATGTTCCTATAAACATTTGATTGCAAATGCTTCATTTTCGAAATAATAGCCAAAAATAAGTTTCAATGAATGACTTTGGGGAACACTTGCTACCATTCAGTTCAAAATATTTTGTTTTACTGTTACTACATAGAAACACTGAGACTAAAATAAGTAAAACTATAATTTTACTTGCTGTTTTGTGTGGTTGTGAAACTTGGTATCTTATTCTAAGGGAAGACTGAGGGTGTCTGAGAACAAATTGGCAAGAATATTTGGACCTACAAAAACTAATCACTATAAAGAAGAGGTTTCACATGCAAAGACAAGTTTGGTAAAGAAATCAACCGCAGTTTACAATTCTGAAGAAAGAAAAGTATCATAATTAGTATCAGAACATTGATGTAAATTCCTGTTTGTATTGCCAGTTTCATAAATATGCACATAACTGTTTACATATAACAAACATATGCTGGTTAATAGCATCAATGGGTACATCAACTCCTCAGTTTACATAAAGAGAAGCAGTCCTTCAAAGCTGTTTAATAAGTGAAAATTCATTAAATGGAAATGCACTTAATTAATTTAAAGACCATACTTAGACAAGTGACCTATTAAATTAATATTAAAGAATAGTAAATAATAACACATACATGTATTTATTATAATAAACAGTAATTAATCTGAAATTACTAATTAAAGATTCCTGTATTTTGAGACAAAAGAAAAGGCAGATGCTGTGAGTACATGAAATAAGTAAACAATTAAACAGACACAAAGAAATGCTTGTAGAAGAGGCAAGCAGGGCTGAATTTATTCATAGTTTGGTACACTATCAATGTAGTAAAAATTCATTACACATACCAAAAATCAGTCGTGAATTTTTTGAAACATTAGCATGTAAATTCACTGATGAAGTGTGTAGCTGTATACAGTTATTAGTAGTACATGAACATAAATACTATTACAAATTCTTTTAAATGTTTCCCCCAAAGCAACAGGCATTAATTCAGTTACTATTATGGGAAATTGAAACAGGAGATAATATTATATAGGCTTGGCTCTCCCTGGCCGGCTTATGTGTTACAAAATATTTACCTTCTGTAGACTTTGGTAATGAAGGCAAGAGATCAGGTATGTCATCTGCTGAGAGACCATCGACACTATCCACAACAGACTTCGGTCTCAGCTTACGTCCATGAAGACTCTTCCGTTTTGTGGAGAGGTGTGGTGTGGCCTGCGCACAACTGATACTATATAACAGTGAAGCTAACATATAAAGAAACTTTTCCCAGATAGAAATTTACAAGGAAAATTTTTACTTACAGAAATATTTCAATGACAGAATCAAATTAACTTTGTTTACTTCTTAAGTTTCAATTAAAATGTTATGTTTAATGCGTTCAGTCACTTCTGAAAAACTTAGGTATTTCACAAATGTTCCTATTTATTCATTTAATATTTAAAATGTTGGTAAAATTTTAACAACGAAAATTATGTCTGAGGTACAACAGATATATATATATATATATACACATGCACACACAAGCATATACATTAAAGAAAACACTTCTGTAAATGAAATTCAATATGGGGAGAGTTTAGTGGGATTTTGTAAGACTTGAAACTTTCAGGATGAAAATGTGACAAATCCTCCCAGGCAATTTGTTGCACCAATCTGGATCACAGTCTAATATTTTTAACATCTGTCTCCATGATAATGTGTATCAAAAAAGCTGGACTTTACTCTGACTTGATGTAGGTGATCACCAGAGAAGATTTTTTCACAAGTATAATTTTACTTGAATAATATTACAAACGTTGCAAATTCTTCATATCTCTACACACAAACTAAATGTATTATGTTTAAATAAAAACAAGGGTGTGATTAAAACATTTTGACAATAAAAATACAATAAACTTAGCAGTAGCATTGCTATGATTATATTATGTGTCTGTTAAATTACTGACAAAGGTTAATTTCATGCCCATATAAACTATAGGCCTAACAAACATATAAGGCCTTGTCAATCCAATTACAAATTGACCTGACTTAGATCAACATAAACCAAATGACACTTCATTTCAGACCTTCAGACTATACAAGCAACTGTCATAAATATCTGAACCTATTACAAAAAAAAAATTATATCTAAACACAGGCAACATGTACATACAAAGTTTAAAAATAATACTTGCTCATTTACTGAAACAGGTAGGAATTGAGGTTTTCACAGCGATGAGTCCAAAGATGCATGTCTTCTGGGTTGCAGCACTGTGCAGTCTGGTAGGAGTTTATCAACATTCTGTGGTACTTGATGCTTCCATCATCTGAAATGTTGGTAAACTTCTACCAGACTGTACAGTGCTACAACCCAGAAGACAGCAATCTACTAAAATAGGATTTCTAAAACAAATACACTACAAACATGGTGCACATACTATGGACATAAAACTATTAGGCACAGATTCAAAGTAAATCATGAAATTTTTGGACATTTAAATAAAATCTGATCCTCTCTTGGCGACTAAATGCAATGTAGTCTTCTCAGACGATCAGATGCGTGAGTATGAAATTTGTTTCCAAAGCTCTGAAGACTGTCTCTGTCACTGTCATTCATCATCATAAAAGTTCTGTTCCTCTTTGTGTCTTTCCGATAACAGAAAAATTAACTGACGGCAAAAACCTAGTAACATGGCAGATAAGTGAGCAAACTAGTGAGAAACAACCTGTTCTAGGAGCAGAGGAGGAACTTTCAAAGCAATCATGAGAGGTATATAAGAAAAATTCCTAATTTTAAATATATTATAAATTAACTGCAATAATTAAACATACGAGTATTTTGTAGATATACCAAAGGACATAAATATAACTTTAATAAGTCACTTGTATATGGTTGCCTACCAACAAAACAAAAGTATACAAAGACAACATTTTCCATTAGGCTCCCTCCCACCCTTGCCAAATGCAGGTACACAGGATGGATGGAACCAGGTGACAGGATTTTATGTTACAGATTAGTACAAGGCCTGAATGAAGTAATGATGAGGGTCAATGACAAAGGTTTACAGCCTGTGTTATGTAACTTGAAGATATGTATCACATCTTACACATATTTCAAATGGCCATGTATCACAAAGATATACAATTAAACCATTAACCCTGCAGCTAAAACATGGCCAACTGTCCTGAAGTAAGGGGGTTTATAACCCTTAGTCCCATACAAGTATGGTAGCAACATCTAGTATATGGTGCTATCACTCCGGTTTTTCTTGAGCATTTAAATTTGAAATGAGATATTGCTGTTTAACTATGTTAAATGGAAAAGGATCCTTTTAATTTTATTACACTGGGAGGAGTAAAGGGCTAAGATGTACTGAGCACTGAAGTAATTCAGTTCATTAAAGAGGTGTGCTTGAGATCAGTATCCATACAATACATCTGTATCATGCGGAGAATTCGTGGCCCAGGATCCAACATTAACCTTGTGTGTAGCTACATCAACAAACGGATACAAAAACACAAACCAAACAATACAAAAAACAATGCACATGCAGCGAACACTGCCCGTGCACAGTCACATGCATATTACATGTTAATGTCTCCAACATAATGTAGGGGATGACTTGTACTTACAAGGTTCAAATATTCCAATTTCTAGATATCGATACCGCAGGTTCCAAAGAGAAACACGCAACATATTAGAACATGAATACGACACAAGAGATCATCAGACACTAGATAAACATACACATAATGTAATACACAACTGAACTATAATAATAATATTTTTAATGATTATGATAATAATGACAGTAATTATAATAATGTCAGTGTTGTGTTATATAGTAAAAACATTTCTTTTATATTCCTCCCATTTTGGAGATTCCAAGTTTTATATATTCTCAATGTTAAATTTCCTCCATCTAAGATTTTCCTTGTTATTGTTCAAATTCATTGCTCCCCAAACACACCTTATATGATAATTTCACTGTAGTGAGTTCTGATGTTAGTAGCAAAGCCTGCCATGAGACCCTACACTGAACCAGCTGAAACCAGTCCACACCCTCACACCAGTCATCTTTAACATCCATTTTAATATTATTTTACCATCCAAGCTCAAATTTCCCAAGAACTTCCTTACCTTCACATTTTCTGACCAAAATTTTGTATGCATTTCTCTTCTCTCAGATGCATACTACATGCCATACCTATCTCATTTTCCTTGATATGTTCACCCTGATACTAATCAGTGAAGAATATAAATTATGAAGCTCCTCATTATGAAATTTTCTTCATTTCCCTGTTACTCACCCTCTCTTACAGTAAATTTATTGTGCATAAACTCAGAATAAGTTTAAGATTAGAATATTCTACAAAGATTTCAGTTGCTCTGATATTTTTCTGAGACTGACCGCTCTACAGCGGCAAGTGATTAGATATTCACAACTTAAAATTATATTCTGAATAACTCTCAGAAGGCAGAATTAGTTTTGGTGAACAGGTAGATGATGGTTATGCTAATCTCGATATGACACTGTTATATAAGGACAAAATATAACGCGTAACTGTAACATTTTTGAGTAAATCTTGATAAACTCTTTAATGCGTACAAATATTTTTCCTAAATGAAAGAGAATCAGCCTGTCCATTATCAGCGACAATGATCAGTAAAATATACATGATACAGACGTTCTCTGCAGTTACAGCCGTCATAGTCATCAGCCAGAACGATTCAAATTAATACTGACAAAACATAGAATTAAAACTTGAAAGTGAAACCAAGATTATAAAGGAAATTGGAGGTACAGCAAGCACACTCACACAAACAAAGGTCAAATGAAAGATGCTTAATCATTTACTCTTTATTTATGCAGTTACGTTTTTACTGATCTTTTAGAAAGGCTCAAATAAAAATGAACAGTTTTTGTCTTGTTTCCTGTCAATACGGCTGGAGTTCTGTGTTTCTGAAAACATGGAGTGTGAATCGCTACACAGAACAGTTGCTGGGCTGTGGTGAATATTAGTATATGAAAGATGAGCTTACCATAGGTGACTGATCAGATTGCTGGCTCAGAGTGTCTGCCATGGAAAAGCTTTCACTGGGATCATTTCTTGATGAATCCGAGCTCATGCGAGACCTTGACCGCAAAACATCAGGTGTAGAAGAACGCTTCTTGTTCACATCCCCCATCTAGTAATTATGAGGCACACAGATCAAACAGATGTTTAAAATCAAGCTTCTTTAATTCCATGACAATAAATGCCACTTATTCATCGTCACATTGTACTGTTCTCTCTAGGCTACATGACAGTTACATTAATGCTTTGATTATGATGTAAAGTGCGATCTCTGTTGAAAATTTCCTTAATGTCTGTGAAGAAGACAAATGACAAAAATTTTATATTGGTAGATATGGGATGAGGCCATAGATATGGCTTTTGTAACAAATACATGCCAGTCTACACTGAGATTCAGACTGAACAGGTCTTTTTTTGGGATACAGTATAAATTAGACAAAGTAAAGAGTATCCTTAAATAAAGAACCCTCACATCAAGATTATGTTAAAATGGTATTCAATGTGCACATGAAATTGAATTACTACTCTTAATATTTATCCTTCTGCTGTATGTTCATTCAAAACATGGAACGTTGTACTGGAAAAAAATTCCCTTCTCTGCCATGTAACCTTTAATCAGCTTTCTTACAAAAATTCATATCAATTTAATGTTACTTTACTAGGCATAAATAATAATAATAACCTTAGGTTTAGGCAAGAACACACATAGATTTACAAAGAGACAAAAATTAAAAATGCCTAAAAATAATCAGAATATTACTATGTGTGGAAAAGTATTAATTTAAACAGCCAAATAACTCTATGAAGCAGTCCTTCTTAAGAACTAATAATTGCTCAGCTGGCCAGGATATTTCAAAGGTTCATTACTGTGTTCTCAAAATTACACAGCTAGACCCTATCTTGAACCAGATGAATCCAATCCACATCATCTTCATATACCTTAGGCATTTAAGATACTTCTAAGAATGTTAATGTCGTGTGCAGCTTACCAGTGTTTTGTAACTCTGTGACAAAGATTCAATGACTTCGTCCGTAATACGATCAGACACATGAGCAACCACTGCCAGATTCAGTTCGCTGAGAACAAAGAACATCAGTGAATTGCCAAATGTTACTTACTGGTACATAAATACAAACAAGTTTGTTTTAAAATTGTACTCAAGTGTTCAAGTTTCCAACATCCCTTCTAAAACCACTGTTTTTCTTCTAGTATGTTCATGACTTGCTTGTAATGGCTGTTTAAATATAGGTAGCCCTCCATTTGCGCCGATTCAGAAACCAGCAAGTCAAAAAGTGGAAAAAATATATTTTACTATTATTTATAACGTTTCACAATGTATCTCGTACTGATTCTTATACTAAATCGTAATTCTTACATCGCTGATTCTGAATAAAAATTATAAATACAGTCATCTCTGCAATTACGTATGTTTTATTAACACGAATTTGCTCTAATGAGATCAATGAATCGGTAAGAGCTGTTTGTGAAATGCAAACTTTCAAAGGACTAATTTAATCTCTGTCGAGGTACTTGGGTTATTTTTACTAGGCGATTTTCTATAGGTCGGCGTCTTACATGAATGCAACTATCGCATAACAGCAGAGATGATTGTACACACCAATCAAACGAAAGAATCGCAGTCAATACCCTTTATTTTACATATGTTATTTCAGAGCCTTAAATGTAATGCCATTATATTACTCGTCAATGTTTGGGTGCTGGGAATGCATGTCATTGACTTCCCATTGATTTACATTATAAAAGAGTTTCAATTTACGCCGGTTTGTCCAGGAACGCATCCCCGGCATAAATCGGGGCTACCTGTATTTCATAATACTGCATACTGTCCACTATCAGAACTGTAGTTTTAATATACTGGGTACCTATAAGTGATCTTTATGCTTTCAAAAATAATTTTCAGTATTGACTCCAATGAAAGTTTTTGAAACAATGGCAATGAACAGCATTAAAAGTTTTTTTAATAATAAAATGTTATGTGAGCAATCCACTAGGTGTGCTGCAGTAGCAGAAAAAAAGGTGATGTACGAGGCGCGTCCACAAAGTAAGTTTCCCACTCGTCCCACAGCTAGCAAACCTTATATTGCGCGAAGCGACTGTGCGTACGTGATAGAGCAATGACGTAGCATGGCCCATGCACTAACGGTACTTCCCGCGTTCTCACAGTAGCATCGTTGTAGCTGTTGAAGATGGAGGTTCTTATTCCAGCTCCCGCCGACTGTGAAGTGCGGTCAGTGATAAAGTTTTTGAATGCACAGAGCATAGCGCCGATCGAAATTCATCGTCAGCTGTGCCGGGTCTATGGGCCTAACGTCATGAGCAAGCAGATGGTGTGTCGCTGGTGCAGACAATTTTCAGCAGGCCATTCAGAACAAGCGGCGCGGGATGCTTAGTGCCAGTATTGTCTTCCTGCACGATAACGCTAGGCCGCACATGGCTCGACGGACAGCAAGTCTCCTGCAGGAGTTCAGCTGGGAGGTGTTTAATCATTCACCCTACAGCCCGGACCTCGCTCCCAGTGATTTCCATCTTTTCCTACACCTCAAGAAATTCCTGTCTGGTCAGCGTCAGCGTTTTGAGAATGACAGAGAGGCGGAGATGGGTGTCACACAGTGGTTCCAATCCCAGGCGGCAGACTTCTACGACACAGGTATTCAAAAGTTGGTCCCACGGTATGACAAATGTCTCAATTCCGGTGGCAAATATGTTGAAAAATAGCTGGACACTTGCTGTATCTGTTGCAATAAATATTTCCATGAAATTGTGTTTTGTTTCTGTAAACGGCCCCAGGGAAACTTACTTTGTGGACGAGCCTCATACGTTCAAAAAGCTAACTTAATTTCACTAGAATATTGTGAATATACCAAGGAGACCATCTATACCGGATCAATGCCTGAAAATCTCAATAAAACTGAAGTTAGAATTCAAGGTGAATCAGTTGGTCTTCAAATGTGCTATATGCAGAATGACAATGATTATAGTTTTGAGATAAGTAGATTGTCCAATGATTCCTGTATTCAAAACCTAAAAGTGGCAGTAAATATCTGAATATTGCTATGTCCTACAACTTTAATTTCTGTGATTAACTTAGATTACATAAATAAATTATAAAGTACAAAGATTTGTAATCACTCTGTACATACCATTGGAGGAGTTGGTTCTACTACTGTCTTCAGGTGACTGGTTGGTTACTGCCTATCCAGGCTGTTTTACAAATGGTTTTCCTAAGTCCCTCCAGGTGAATGCCAGGACAGTATCTTCAAACATGCCATTACTATTTCTTTCAAAAACAATATCTAATCAACCACTCAGTCCTCTCATCAGATGCTACTCAACCTCTGCAGATGAAACACCACCATTAAATGATTTAACTTCATAAGTATATACTAACTTGACTTTGTTCATGATGTCTGCGCCTGCCTGTTCAACGAGGCAGGTATGGATAAACTCAGGAGGAAGGAAGATCTTTTCATGACACATCTTCCTGATCTCGCCCTGAACTCGATCATCAGCCAAAACATGTGGACACTGATCTTCTGCACACTTCATCATGCTCTCCAGAGTACCCTGGAACACAACACAGAATGAGTCAAAACTTTCTTTGTAACACAGAAACAGAATGGAGGATGAATTAAGAAATAAATACTCTGTTAGAGTCCATCTATATCTCTAACACCTATGAGAACAGCAATTTGAGGAGATGCTGCCATTCTATAGTTTATAAACATATGATTACTATCATTATGTTCAGAATCTGATGTTTCCTGCTGTGGTGGCATAACTTAAGGTACTACACTGGCAACTGCTTGGAGGGACTGAGAAAGACCATAAAAACCATCAGCAAGGTGATACTTGTGTAAATCACAAAGATTTACATGAACATGAGCATTATATGCATACAACTTTCTAATCGACAATAATTTTTAATTCACAAAATCAATTACTTTGGTGTGTCTGTGATCCATTGTACCAATTAGATATACACACTTCTCAACCAAACTCAATTAAATTAAAAATTTCAAATGTCATAATCCCAAAATATAAGCACATTCTTTGAAACTCTGAACAGTAGTTTAGTCTGCATACATTCCTGGAGGAAAAACAGATACAAGTATTACAAACCTGCAGATATCCAACCGCAACGCTGTGCAATTCATCTGCAACTTGTTTTAGCTTTACATCAATGGGGTTGCTAGCTTCTTCTCGCCTCTGTACCACTTCCTGTAACCTCGGCAGAAGCTGCAAAACAAAACGTAACCTGCGTGAGAACAGTGACCTAAAAACATATTAACTCAAAATGGCATCACAACCTAAAGACCACAATCTTCATTTTTAACAACATAAAAACCCTCAAATCTCAACAATAATTACTGCACACTTGTTGCTGCAGGTATACAAACACATGCGAATTTACCTGTTTAGAATTATCTGCATCCTGAATAAGACCTGTAGCATAGTTGATATCGTTGTTATTGTCAGTTGACTCCTGTGACAGTGTGCGGATTGTATCCTGAGTCTGCACAACTAGCCTGTCTACCATCTGTTGGGTGGAGCTAAGAAGGAAACCCTGACAAAAACACACACCAAGCTCTTCACAGCTCTTGCAGCACACACAGTAAAAGAAACAGAAATACAATTCTGTTTAATCCAATCTCTATACACACAGAACTAATATATTTTGACATATTACAACCCATCAATTTCTTTTATCTGATCTTCAGGTAGCAGCTTCATCAAAGATAAATTTGCTATTGAGAAACTGAAGTATTATAAATTTCTGGGTTCCAGTTTAACTCCAGTTAAACTTCTACACACAGAGGGCAGGACACTACATTCAGAGAAACTTATACTTACAGTCTTCATTTGGAACAAGGAAGAATTATTACATTAATAGAAAGAATCAATGATTTATCAATACAATACAAAACTGATTATAGTAATTTCTAAGGAATGTCTCTTTTGTTAATACCATATAAAATTTTACCCAATATTCTTTTGGCACATTTAATGAATGAAATTATTAGTGACCATCATTGCAAGAAAGGAAAGTGGATGGAAATGGCTCACAATCATGTTCAATCGCAGAATTCAGTATTAGTAGTGTTGAGGCTTTGGCTTCAATCACCACTGTTCAGAAATGATTGAATCTGTCTGACATCACACTAGAACATGATTTCCTGGATATTAAACAATGCACAATAAAAGATCCACTTTGAGAACAATTTATTTCACAACAAATTTCTAATTATAATTATTGTTACTACTACTACTACTGAAACATTATTACTACCAACTTCTTTAACTTTTGGGCTGTTGATATTATCAGACTGGGTTCAACACTGCACCATAACATGATTTCAGTGATCTCAGGTCAAATCCAACAAGAATTAATGATAGTTATAAAAGTGAGGAGAGCCAAGTCCCTTGGCAATAAAATTCAAAATGGTTCAGCACCAACTGATGATAACATGCATGTGAAGCATTATTAACACTGTAAATGGCACAGGAAACAAAGTACATGGGGGGGGGGAGAGAGTTCTCAGTGACACTCTGTGCATCACAAATCCCATACAGACTACCTTGAGAATGAAACCAGGTATCTGTAGCAAAAGTACAGCAAATAAAAGCATAAGTACGAGCTGTGACAGCTATGTAAGGCCAACAACATCCACTATTTATTCAATGCCAGATTCATACAAGAATAAACTCTATAAATATGTTACATATTTATTGTAGTCTTCTGGGTTATGATATCACATGGTTTTTATGTGGTTACTAATGTTCTGGAAGAATGCATCACCTCCATCTTCAAGGGAATATGTGCTGTTTATATAGGTGGGAGTGAGGCCAATGGAAATGGGGAAAAAGAAATTAGGGCAAAGAGAACTTACTCATATCTTGATCCACTTCTACTCTAAAGATGGAGGCAAAGCTTTCTTATAAAAAAACACCTATAAACTATAAGGCATCACAAAAAATACCACAACTGGCATGTTTACCATCACGTGAACTTCAAATTTTGAATATGTTACTTACCTGCTGCAGTCTGAATGCTTGACCATTGCTGTACTTCTTAGGTGACACATTCCTATGAAGGAGATCCTGGATCTTTCTCATGACCGAGTCAGTACGTTCTGATGAAGTTTTCATACACGGAACCACATCATAAATTGGGAATGGCATGTATCGTACAGTGTAGTTACTACAGCAACAGAGACAGACAGGTTTATGGATGTTATTCAGCTTCTAATTTTTAAGGAAATTGCTAGGCATGAATGTGAATAATATTTTCATTTTCAGAGTAGAATTAGACAACAGATCAGGATTCTGGATAAACAATTTTATTATTGTGACTACAGCACAATTGGCGGTGTGCTCACAAATTTCATGCGTGGAAATGGGACAATAAAACAACAATGTCTAAAATCAGAAAAATGTCATATTGTCCTAAAATGCCCCAAATTATAAAACAGAAAAGTTCATAGTTCATAGCATGGTTAAAAAAATCATAGAAATGTCCTTGAAAGCATACCTTTCCAATGCATATGCAAGATCACAGTACCCTTGAAGTGTGATGTTATTACGATCATATATAATGCTCTTGAGCCTGGAATTGATTTGCAGTGCCTTTGCTAGCAACCTAGCCCCTGCATCACCCATCAGGTTACCACTGTAATAAATATTTATGTGATTATAAGTGTCTAGTTTGTAACAGTATTAATAGAGTCTAATCTTTTAAATACTGGTGCTTCCTACCCATTCATAAATAATAGGAATATCAACACAAAAGCATTATTACCTGATATCAATACTCTGTAGACATTGGTTGCTGCCTAGGGCATTGATTAGGTTGTACAGGTCAGACTTGAGCTTCGAATCGGGTATTGATAAAGACTGCAACACACAGTCTTCGTCCTAAGTCATAAAACATGTACTTCATTTCTTCTATCCAATTTAGTAATACAGATCAAAGTATTTATAACTTGTTGATGCTTGCTTTCTGGGTTATAATGCTATGTGGGCTTGCAGACAATGCTCGTAGACCTGAAGATAGATGCAGTATGTTCCTCCAGAAAACCAACACTGACATTTTCACTTTTGTGAGAACCTAAAATCTCACATATTTACAACTTACTTAAGATCATTAAACTAACATCAATCTGTAAAATCCTGTAAATGTAATGAAATTTATTAAAGATAAAATGTTTACAGGAAGCTTATGGACTGTTTGTTCTGCACTGAAGCCATGCAGTCTTGTAGGTGGTTATTAATATTTTGGATGAACCTATAAGACAACTGGTATCATAATCCAGAAAACCACAAGCCATATTTTGAGTGCAACTGAAATCTCAAATCTCATATAAGAAGCTTGTCAATGGTAATGACAAAATAATTCAGGAATTAGGAAGGACCGGTAGATTCCCTTGTCGTACTTAATTCAACACACAAGCATTTCATTCATTCTGGTATGTTAAAATAGTTTATAATGTACAAGATAAATTCCATTGTATGACTGGCAATACTGCTGAGACCTGGTTATACTATAACTCAGTTCATAAGTGGCATGCTATAAGTGTGGTTTAGTTGCAGTCCAATTGTGCTGAGCAAGTGTGATGTAAAGATGGCTGCTACACTAGATGTTTGCAACAAGGATGAGCAACATTAATGATCAGCCTTACAGCACTTTCTGCAATAATTACACTACAGTTTCCAAGAAACAATGTTTCAGTTTACCAACATTTCACAGGTCCTTGCTGCCTCCATCAGCGTGATCACCCTGATGATGGAGGCAAACTTCTACCACACTACACAGCGTGACAACCCAGTAGACAGCCATATTCCTACTCTGACATATTTCCAAGTTGCATGCATAAGTGTTTCAAACCACACGTGCAATATTTATTCAAAGACGGTTAGCATGCAAATAAATGCAGTCATTTAATCAAATTTTATCAAATGTCTCTCAGAACACAAGCTGATGTAACTCACCTGAATCATTTGTACAACAGCATCCATAACTGATGAAATGTGTTTTGGCTTCATGTTGTTAAGGTTACGACCCATGTTTAGATGTTTAATTGATTTATTTTTGCTAACTGCAGTCACAACTGATGCCAAATCAACATCCATGTCTGCAATATAGGAAGAATGGTTTAAAATTTAAATGTTTCCAAAATGAAGACAAAAGAAAGTTACTGATTCTAAAAAGATATGCCTCAGAAACCACAATATACTAGCATTTATTCACGCTGTACCAGCTCACATTTTTCTGCAGTTTCGATTCATGTTTCAATAAAATATAACACTGTATAAGATTTCAAGTTTTGCAGTGACTGACCACAAAGAAGTCTTATTGGGCCCTCCACCCTTAATCAGTCCAAATCACAGTTAAAATTTTGGTAATGACCAACAAAGAAAACAGCAAACCCCAACTGCAAAACAGTTCAAAGCCTGAAATGGCGCATTTAAATAATGGATTTCACATGCACTCTAAGCCTGGATTATGCTTTGACGAGGTATGTATCCCAGAGAAACTTCTATGTTTCATTAGGTCAATGCTCAATTACAGGATTTCAGTTTAACTTCTATGTTTCATTAGATCAATGCTCAATTACAGGATTTCAGTTTAACTTACAGAACCCAATTGAATTAAACACCTGAGACTGTGAGGGGCATGCCAAGACAAGCAAATTACACCAGTCAGTGAATGCCACACAAAAGTTTGTGCAAAATCAAATTACACCAGTGATCTCTTGAACAACCAGCAACTCAGAAATTTAGTCAGTACTCATCTTGCAAAAAACAATTATGACATTCATCACCAAAAATTTAGTCTTCATACGAGAAACAGCCTTGGAATCAAATATTGTCTACCACCCTAAGTGCACAAGCTGTAAACTCAACAATATCACAACACTTGACTGAAAATTTTAATATTCTCTTTAATTTAATATAAGTACTACATCAGAATCTGCAGGCTGTCAGCATCAACCTCAAATTAAATTCCCAAAATTCAAAGTTTCTAATGAACCATGATATGTGAGGCATTAACTGTGATCATTCTCAAGTAATATTTAACCAAATTGCTATAACACACAGTCAGAATCTCATCTGTAACTAAAGGGCAGAGACCTACTATTCCAATCAGTATTACAGTGCCACTGCGTACAATTTGTATAAAATCCATTTCATCAATTAGTATACATTGCCATATAGTGTAACCAAAATTATGTTGTAACAAGTGCACACAACAAAGTGTACCAATTCCACATCATCAACGTGCATTACCGAAGTTGGGCAGTGGTACCAACACATATGCTAACCCACTGGCCAGTGTGATTGTTGAAAAATCAACAAAGTTTCACACATTCAAACCCTGAGATTAATTCATGCTAGATATCCTCACATCAACAATTACCTCACACCCATACTGACCTATAAAAATCATTAGCCAAGGAACTTGATGATTCAGCAACAACCATTATCATTATCAATGTCAATGTACCAGCAAGTCAAGACAGAGGTGAGGACTGTATTTGGCTCATCACAGATTGTTACAGACTCTAGCTGAATCCTGTTTACATATTCCATTTCATAAGGCATTATTATAACATCTAATCCCAAGTACCTTGAGAAATACCTTTCCTTGGGGGTTTCAAAACAAAGCTTTGTATTTATTTCTTGTTTCTAACATGTTCCATCTCATCCTTATTTCTACTTAATCATGAGGTGAAAAGTACAAATTATGAAGATTTTCTGTCTTTTGCATTTATGTAAAACACTGTATTATCCAATACAGTAAAGTAAAGCTGTCCTTCTACACACTATGAAGGTGCTTGTGGTGAGAGGCAGTATAGCACCTACTCATTCTTGACCTCGGTACTAAATATGGGTCAGTGGTCGAGCTATGCTTTACCCCAGGGGAAAGGACCCCCAGTACCGATTGGATAGGAGGCTGGTTGGGACCCAGAGCTGGTCTGCATGCAGAACATAGACGAAGAAATCCTTTGCCCCTGCCAGGGGTTAAACCCTGGTTATCCGGTCTGTAGAATCCAATATAATACCAAGATCAATTATAATAATGGTTAAAACCAGCAGCGTAAAGAGCTGGCACTGAGTAGATCCATTCTACATAATGGACCAACCCATCATTACGTGATAGTGTTACATGCAACTCTCCCATGTGACTGAGGCAGCAGTGGCAGGAAGTAGCAATATTCACACCAACGATCATGTAGTAGGTACAATAACAAATTCATCTTGATATTTGCAACTTACTAAGCACATATCTACTACATACTGCATAAATTTCATGAGACGAACACTAAATGTTAAAATAAAGTATGTCTAATATTGCATTCACTTACATTATTTTCCCCACAACAGTACTTCTTCCTTCATCAAAAGTCTTTTTCACAATGTGACTCTCTTTAAAGACACTAACTTTTTGTACCCTTACATAAAATCTGAATTGAACTGTCAACATCAGAAAACCATGGTCAAGTTTTTAAGGAGTACTTTATTAAAAAAAGGGCCACAAAGAAATTATTCTAAAACTGTACGAGATTACTGCCATTTCACTGTTTCTTTATGGATGTGAAAAAATTAAATTCTCAGTAACAGAGGAACACTAGACACTGGTTTCTCAATGCAAAGATCCAGCTTCAGTCCCAGGTGACTTCAAATGAGATTCATGGTGGATAGACTGGCACTGGAGTAGGTTTTTCTTAGAGTTCTTCTGGTTTCTGCTAATTATCACTCCACCACTGCTCCCATATTTATTTATCATGCCCCCATAGCCCTGACCAAGAAGCACCACCCCCGATAAACCTGACCATGCAGCAAATTATTATATCCTCAGTCCTAGATTCTGAATTAGTAGCTTAATCTCTGACCAGGCACATAGTTGGCCTCACAGTTGGGGTAGTTTTAATGTTAATGTTACCAGAGAACACAATGCTAAAAGTTTCTTATGAGTATAATCCAACAGAACACAGGATGAGAGGAGAGATGGTATGACAATTATAATGGAGAGGCAACAGGTCAAATATGCAAAACTACTTAAGATGATGACAATCACAAAGAAAAGGAAATCATTATACAATGATTCTGACAAGGATCATAGATGATACAACTTTAAGAATGGATGTTGAATGTCATAAAGCAACAATTAGAATACTGTAAGCACAAAGTGACAAAATAAACTCACTGTTCTCACTGATATCAAGGCTTCCAATGCACCGAATGCCATGTATGCACGACTCAAGCACATGTGCTCCTTGGGCACCAAGATTATTACAGCTCATGTCCAGCTCAATCTCAATAGTGGACTCATTGCATGCCAACCCAAGAAGCAAGTTCCTGCAGACACAGTGCACATTCTGTACCAAGCATGCATGACAAATTACCTGTAATCTTTAAAACTGGTAATGAAATATTCTCAGTTAATTCAGCATAACACAACCATTTTTAAAAACTTCAATGACAGATAAATAAATCCACCTCCTAATACTAATAAATGGAAGGAAAACAAACTTTTCAGAAAATAAAAAGTGCTCCTTTCTTTTATTCATATTATGTAGTTGTCATTAAAAATATGGATAGTAAAGAAACAGTTCAGTACTATGGATACACTAGAAGGTAAGTGACTTTGAGGTTAAATAAAACGTGCAGTTCACTGAAATTCAATTAAAATCACAGTCTACCTATGGAATAATTTTTTCCCATGTGTTAGTTGTGTTAAAACTGTCTTCAATTCCATATGTTTTTTGTTCAGTGTTTCTGTTGATTTTCACAAATGGTAGCAACTTCTAAAATTGGACTACTGGTTGTAGTGACTCATTACTCTATTTCAACACATTCCATGCTATGAGCTCTCATTTTGGACCTATTACACATGGCACTCTAATGTCAACTGAACAATTTTGCTGTATATCTCAGCAAATAGAAAAAAAGCATCATTAAATAAACTATAAATAAACAAACAGAATGACAAGCAGGCCAAAGTCTACTTGTCTTCACTCCTGTCCTGAAACATTTTTTAAGCCACCATTTATGAAGACATTCAATTAACCCAAGTGTAAAATACATTCAGATACTGTATTTGTATATGGCTTGAAAGAAAGAAATTTCATACTTGGAAAGAAACTTACAAACACTCAATAGTCTAGTTACTTCTGACTGTCTTGTATTACTTCTGAAAACAGCTGATAGCAGCACTTCAAAATCCACTGCAGAAATTGGAAACAGCTGTTCTGACCACCATGTACAAGCTGATAAATATAGGCAACATGTTGACCTGTTGCGCAGTATGGCAGGACTATGTGAACGACAATCTTTTTTATTTATGCCATATTTTAAAATATATTTAGCATCACTTTCAAATCTCTACTTATTGCATACACACCTCCAATTACATACTGAGTTTCCTTTACAATTTAATGTAATATGTAATACCTAAATTGCAATAAATCATATTACTGCTTGATATAGCACTATTATTAGATTCAGGATCAGTGTTTAACAGCTCAGATGGTGTGCTAAATAAATGAAGTGGAAAGTTTAATTCAGAGATCAATTTCACATTCAAGGAACAGTGAGAAAAAAACATGATTAAAGCAACGGCAATAACTCTATTTAAGCAATAAGGACTTACAACAATAAAATTTACAGTCTTTCTCAATGTTCCTTGGCCATGTGGCTAGCATTACTACTGCTTTGTATTGGAGTGGTTCCTGGTTCAAGTAACAGCCCATACACCAAGTAACCTGACTTATTCAATAAAAACCTCTCAGGCGACAAGCAGCATCAAAATGGAGCAATAGTCCAACATTTTAGAGACATTCTTTGTCTCCATCATCACAAAATGACATGACCTGACTTATTGTCTTCACAGTTTCCTTTGATTCCTTAAGGGAAAATGTGCACACAATACCTTAAAATGGGTCAGAATCACTTGCTTCTATAACTTCTCCTACAGATTCAAAATTCATATTCATGTAACCTCTGAGACAGACACAACATCATTACACATGCAAATAAACAAACAAGTTTAAATACAAAGTGAGACACACTAGTCAGAATAACCAAGATCGAACACAGACATTCTTAGTTAGGAAGGCTGACTGGACTGGCTCATTGACCGATTTGTAAATCACTCAACAATGCTGTCTGAATTGCAGAGGACACAAACTGAATGAGATGAGACACATTATCATGATTAGTTAGCAGATACGGAATTGGAAGGAAGTGGACATTACCTATTTCAAGTTAGTATCCCAGGGGTCATTATGAGAAACTGAGAAAAATTACAAAATACCTAAAATTATGGCTGGTATAACAGTCAAAATTTGAACTGGGTACCTGCTAAATATAAGTATGGAGTGTTATTACATCAGTCTGCTCAGTAAAAAGTAAGTGATCTGGTAGTATAAATAATGAGTAGTAACTGAAGATAAAACTGAAATGGCTGAATGAGAAGTAAACATACTGTGAACTCACTTGAGGGCCTCTAGTGGCAGCTTGCAGAATGACATGTTGAGGTGCTTGAGACTGAGTGTGCTGGTGAAGAACTGTTTGAATGACGGGGGTACTTCTTTGGTTTTCTTGGCGCTAAACACATTGCGAGATACGTTCAGGTGTACGAGATTCGTAGCACAGCCCCGTAGCAAAGCACCAAATATCTGACAAACAGTTTAAACTTACAAATAACATGTTGTAATGATAATTACTCAAAACTAGATCAGAACCATATTATATTAAGAACTTGAATGATATTATTTAAACTGCTGCTAAATATTTATTGAGTTCCAAAAGTAGTAATTGGAATTACTCTCAGCAAGAAAAAGCAGATTAATATAAAATAAGTATGTTTACCAAACACTATTACTAATTCTGTTAGTTTCAGTAGTTGTGGTGAAATGACAACTACTTAACTTACTGTTTCCAATGCAGTGTCAGTCCCCGAGATATCCAGGTGAGTTAAAGAGTTTGGCTGAGCAAGGAAGTTACAAAGATTCTGAAACACACAACAGAAATATTTAGAAAAGAGTTAAGGCCAGTCAGAGAAACTTAAATGGTGTAAGGACAAGAAATAATTACTAGGTGCAAGTTCCTGCAGAAACACATTTTGTGGTGTTATTTTGGTCATAATAAACAGAAAAAATCTGAGAATCCAGAGGAAAATTAATTCTACATAAACATTTTATTTGAATAAGGGATAAAATATTTTTTCCACTGGGAATAATTTATAAAATAAATGTTGTTGTTTCTCGGCTCTACAACCTGGTTGTGGGTTTTCACTGCCTCATTTTCAGAGGTTTCTTGGTCTTAAAGTGTGCATTTATGAGTAGTGATTGACCAGTCCACTGACTCTGCACAATTTCTACTCAATCCTGATTTGACTGCCAGAGCCATCTAGCGTTTAATCAGAAATGGGTGAGAAATGGCAGCTGAATTTTGCTTATGATACATCTCGTATCATGCTCGTAAGGTTCTTTTACATGCTGTAAATCAACGACATGGGGCCGCCAGCTTTACTTCCCCTCCAAAGAAAGTTGTGTTACCAATTTATATCACCCTTAAAAATCCATCAGCCTCGTCCAGGATTGAACCCGCGAACCTTGGGTCCAGTGGCAAGCACGCTAACCACTAGTCCACTGAGAACAACTTATAAAATAAATATTTTAATTAAATGTTTAAAACACATTATTGCTAATATTTAATTCATTTTTCTTCACGGGTGCCTCATCAGGGGTGGTGATTACACAGAAAAATAACATCATGGCTTCTGCATAAGCACAAGCAATCATATGTCTATGGTAGTAAATGTGTGTCAGTGTCCTTATGAACCTAACCTTAAAACCATCCCTCATAGAAACCTCAACCTGTTTCTCACATTTGTCATTACCACAAATTTGTAACCAACTTAGCAACAGATTTTGATTTTCAAACACACAATTCTTGATCTTATAAAATATTATACTGATGTTTGCAAAGGAGCTTACATTGATCTCCTCCTTGAGGTTGTTGTCACTAAGGTTGAGGTACGTAAGAGTGCTTGGCATAAACTTGTTGAGGGAGAGTGCATGAGCAACTTGGTTCACTCCTTTGGAAGACAGGCCACAGTGAGACAGGTTTAAGTGAATCAGACCTTTCGGCACCTTCGCTAATGGACTGCTAAGGTGGCTAGCACCTGTAAAATAGTCAACATATATCAATACCTCATGCAATAAAAAATCCAATACAGCACTAATAATGCAATATTTAAGACTTTCAGTGTCCGCAGTTTTAACAAACATTTAATCTACATTTCCTAGATGTAAACCTCAGCAGTAGATGGTGATTTGCTAGTTCACCCTCCAAATGCTTTACCCTCAAGGGAAATATATTTTCCACATTCCAAGAGAATAATAAATAAAACATCTGTTATAATTAACAGTCATTACAGAAATTTCCTTCAAACAAAGAAATTCTAATTATTCCAATTAACAACGGTTTGATAATACTAAAATAATGACCATTATTTGATGAAAGTTAACACTGGCAAGCAACAACGAAAAAGAAAATTAACATCAAGGTCACATGAACATAAAAGTGATTAAAACAATCCAATGTTAGTATTTTAAAGATATACAAAACACTGCTTTCAGTTTACTAAACAGCATAATTCACATTTACTTGAACATATAATAAGCAATGTTTATAACCCTGAAACAGACCAGCAACATCACAATATTTATTAAATATACCTGTCTTTATGTCCAGATGTTAATAACAAATCTAAAACAATCACCACAGATTAGTCAATGCATGCCAATAATTTGTATATTAAATCTTCAAAAGTGGTTCTCAAGTGATGCTTACTAAGGGTGCAGGAATGGTACCTTCAGATACTATAGATAAGTCCATGTTTGTATGCATGCAAGTACGCATACACATACATACCAGGGCCAAAAATAAGACAACCAGGGTATAACGTTTACTGGAGCTTGGTCTGAATGTATTACTTTAAAATTTATTTTAATTGCTTGGTTTCCAGCATACTAAACATTTTAAAACAATTCCAAAAGACTGGACAATTATTTAACAAAATGAGATAAAAAGGTAATGACATCCAATATGCATACTTCTTCATATTTGCATACACACACAAAGGTATGCATGTGCTCACTGTTACAAAGATGTACATATCTGTAGTCATAGTATTTTCCTTTGGTTATCAAACAACATAACTAACTTCATGTGCAACCTTAATTAAGACTGCTTATTCAGACTTTTAAACTGGGGGTAAATGTTAGGGTGAATTCTGTAAAAAGACTAGTTCTGAGTTACGGGGGTAAATGTTAGAGTGAGTTCTGTAAAAAGACTAGTTCTGAGTTACAGACAATCTTTTTATATCTGAAATATTGATACAGCATCATACTTCCACTGTTTCCCTCCATGCTCACAGCTTTATGTTAACACAGCATAATCAGATAAACGTTTAGCAGCACACGAGTCTTCTGACAGTACCAACACTACCAAAGAATTTGCAATTTACTTTACAATTTCCAACTCCTGCACCTTTGCTTTATAAATTTAATTTATTTCTGTAATCATCATCAATGGGAACAAAAAAGTCCGACAATAAACATTGTTTAAAGACTGTATCTGCACCAATGTTGAAACTCAGATTGGTGCAGAGTGTTTCATGGAAATAAATGGATTTTCATACCAAGAAACAGCAGATGCACATCTCTTATTGGTTTAAAAATGGCAACTTTTAAACAAGCATTTTGAAAACATTTTCACAATGTGTGGGGAAAGCAGCAAAAACATGACACCACATGAGAATTTCAGAAAGGAAAAGAGGTCTGAAACAAAAAGAAGGCTGTTATAAACCCATGTTAATGTTCATTTCAACTTTTTTTTATTGTTTTAGTGTGTAAAATTCAGTCTCTCATTTGCAACAGACCTGTATGTTACACTGTATTTTTCAACTATTCCCCTTGTGACAAATCAAGACACCATAAACCTAATAAGTCTGTAAACTTAACTTGAGAACCACCTATCTGAGTTGCCAGGGCTTTCCAATTAAAACTTACAAACATTCAAATCAGGAGTCAAAAGACATTATTTATGAAAGTGTCATGTACCAGTTTCAAATTTATGTTGTTAAATATCCTGACAGTTCAAGTATATAATATTGGTAACAAATTGAAAAGCCTAGCTGTATCATTAATATCACAAATTAAATACAACACTCACCATTAATTTCATGCAGTTAGTGCAATAAACACAAGATACACATCCCTGTAAGGTTGTCCACAAACATAAATTCAAGAATGTAATATTTTCAACAAAACTAGGTTCAATGTATGACATAAACATCAGAGAATAATTTTTATCACACATTCTTCAATGCAACTAGGAAATGAAGTTGTTATTGTTGTTACTGATCTCACAGGTCAGTCAGAACATGAGTTCTGACCTCTGAGTCACAAAAATGCCTTGCAGAAAGAGCAAAGTTAAAGTAAATCTATAAAATGCCATACTTTTTTTTCCATGACTTTGTAAGCCTTATGCCAGAAATAAAACTTCAGTAACAGACTTAGTACTCAACACATACTTTCTGTTAGTGTGCAGCTAATTAGCCTTTTGGAAAAGTGAGTTGCACACTAAAAAAGGCTGAAAGCCTGTCATTTATATACAAGGCTCGTCCACAAAGTAAGTTTCCCTAGGGCCGTTTACAGAAATAAAACATAATTTCATGGAAATATTTATTGCAACAGATGCAGCAAGTGTCCAGCTATTTTTCAACATATTCGCCACCGGAATTGAGACATTTGTCATACCGTGGGACCAACTTTTGAATACCTGTGTCGTAGAAGTCTGC